CAACTCCTTATCACTAAGCCACCAGACCTCCCTTTTCATGTAAGTAGGCTCATACACTATTTGGGGATTTTTGTAACTTGTTTCACTCAGAGTAATATTTTCAAGTTTGTCTCACACTGTAGCATGCATCAGTATTTAATTTTCTTTGTGGCAGAGTAATACTCAATTCCATATATATATACACTACATTTCCTCCATCCATGCATCTAATGCACATTTAAGAGCTTTGCTCGTTTTTTGAATAATACTGTAAGAGTCATTGGTATATAAGTTTCTGTTTGCTTTCCTTCTTTCATTCTTTTGGCCATATAAAATCTGCTATTAAGGACCTTGGCAAAGTCCTAAAGACCAAGGATGGCGTTTTAAAAATGAAAGTGTGCCTGATCTAAGCCACAGTCTTTTAAAATACTTTCTATGCTTCTGAAAGTTGGGCAGTGGATAAGGTTGACAGCTAAACAATCAACTCCCTTGAGCTGTGGTGTTGGAGGAGAGCACCGAGTGTCCTGTGGACTGCAAAAAGAACAAACAAGTCTATTTTGAGGGCTGTGCAACCAGGGTGTCCCTTAGGGACAAGAATGGTGAAATGCCATCTAGCATGCTGTCAGAAGGGACAGCTGTCTTTGGAAAAGGACATCATGATGGGAAAGGTAGAGAGAGGGTCAGAGAAAGAGAGGAAGACTCCAAGCAAGATAGAGTATCACAGTGACCATCACGATGGACTCCAGCGTATCTGGGATACTGAGGATGGTGCAGGTTAGGGCAAGGAGCATATCTGTTTTTCAGAGGGTTGCCATGAAGCAGAATCGCCTCAAAGTACCTAACACTACAACAAGAAGGCAGTGGGTTTTCAGAAGTGTGTTATCACCTGATAGGAGATTACTCATCTTTATCCCATGGAGCACTCACTGGTAGATTCGAACCTTCTGCCTTTAGGTTACCAGTAAGCCGCCAGAGCTCCCTAGCTATGGATATTGTGTTTGTTGTGTACCTTTGAGTCAGAACTAATTCAAAGCCAACCATTCAGCAGGTTTTCAGAGGCAGTAAATCACACAGGAGATTGCCCTTCATTCTCACACAGAGCAGCTTGTGGGTTTAACCTGCATCGCTTCAACATTTCAGCACGGCTTCTTGTCACCAGGCCACCAGAGCGCCCTCTGGCTATCGAGAAGAGTTTCAGTTTCTCCTTAAACTCACCAACATCTATTTTCCATGATTTGGGTCATAGCTATTCTTGGGAAATGAAGTGGTATCGCACAGAAGTTTTTATTTACTCACCTTGTGAGAATTGTTTTTTTGTTTGGTTTTTTAAAATTTTCTTTTATTAATTTTAATGAACAGTTACAGAGATTTTGGATTTTCATTCATTCATTGTTGCACTTTTTGAGAACTGTTTTTTTAAATAAACTTTTTGTTATAATTGTGATTTTAATGAAAATTGACAGCAAAAAGTTAGATTTTCTTTCATTCATTCATTGTTGCACATTTTATCTGCTCTCCCTCCCTCCCCCTCCCCGAGTTCACTTTCTTTTTTATATTCGTTCAGATTTTTAAAAGAAATAATAGAGATAGCAGTTATTTTTGCCATTACATACATAATACTCTTATAAGAAAGCAGAAAAAAAATCTGCTTTGCTCGTTGCCGCTATATTAACAACTGTCACATACCAATAATTGATAAATCTTGGGCTTCTCCTTAGTAATAATTCTAGTACTCCTTAAAACATGTCTTGGGATTAGCAGCTGTCAGCAGTTTGAACTTGAAGTTGATTTCATTACAGGAAGGGAAGACAAGCCAGCATTTAATACCACTTTCACCTGTAGGCTCAAGGGAGAAAGTGAAAAGAGCGAGAGGGAGAGAGACAATTGTTTCTGAGATTACAGGAACTTAACATCTGTTTTCATCATCTGGAAAAGTTGTACTTTAAGTGAAAGAGACAGAAATACACTTAATGAAATACATTTGAGCACTTGAACATTTTACATTTTAACATTCTTTCAATCCATTGAATTCTTCACAAAATTGGATTTTAACTTATATACATCTAATGATTCTTACCACTAGATCGATAGGCAACATCATGATGGATGGAGAGGAGACTGAAATTGTCAACAACTTCATCTTACTTGGATCCACAATTAGCACCCTTGGTACCAGCACTCAGGACATAAGGAGATGCATTGCACTGGGAAAGTCTGCAGTTAGAAACCTCTCCAAAGTATTGAGGAGTAATGACGTCAGTTTGAGGACTAAGGTGTGTCTGATTTAAGTCATGATCTTTCTGTTTACTTACTTTGCATCTGAGAGCTGAACAATGAATAAGGATGAGAGAAGAATTGACACCTTTGAGCCATGGTGTTGAAGAGCTCTGAACATCCCATGGATGGCCAAGAGAACACACATCTCTGTCTCAAAGACGGTGCAGCCAGAATGCTCTTTGGAGGCAAGAATGATAAGGCTTCTCCTCACATACTTCAGGCATGTTGCTAGGAGTGGCTGTTCCTTGTAGAAGGACATGATGCCTGGAAGGGTGGAGCGTTGGTGAAGGAGAGGAAGACCCTTGACCTGGTGGATTGACACCTTCTAAACATTTTGTTAGATAGTTAAAGTAATTTTATGAGAAAAATTAATTATTTTGTGAATTGTATCTTCAGTCCCTGTTGTTGTTCTATGTCATCAAGTTGCCTGCAACTCAACATCACTACCTCTTAATAATTTGGAGAGGCCCCTCTACCTGCAGACTTTCCCAGTGCAGTGAGTCTCCTTATTTCCTGACTGCTGGTACAAAGAGTGTTAAATTGTAGGAGGGACTATTCATTCATGTACCTTTTGTTTTAAACAATCAGTTCTGTACATTGGGTATAATTACCATCATTTTGTGTATTTAATTAGTACACGTATAAACACATTTATAAATGTGTGTAAACATGTATAAACAATTATGTAAACACACATATCATTACACATGTTTAATTATTGTGTGTACTTAATTACTGTTGCTCTATTACTCTTCTCACCTCATGTCCAATCCCCATTACACCTTACTTCTTCCTGCACCCTCTTGTCACCCCACTAATCTCTGCTGTCCAAGTGATTTCCTCTTCCTTCTTCTACACACCATCTCCCCTTTCCCTTTTAAACCATCTTCCTATTTGCTAATTCCAGTAGACGTGCTGTCTTTTACTCAGTTTTTCCTAGGCCCATCGTCCCTTGTCTTGAGCCTTGTACTATCCTTTGTCTACCCTTGACATCCCTCTTCTTCCCCTCCTCCCCTGACTCCTTAGATACGCTCCTGTTTTCATGGGTACAGTCTTATGCAGCACTTTTCCTTCTGTGACTGAGTTCTTTCACTCGACATATTGTCCTCCAGACTCTCATGTTGTGTTCTTTACGAATCCTTCATTGCTCTTCAGTACTGCATAGTATTCCATTGTGTGACTATACTACAGTTTTTCTATCTATTCGTTTGTTGATGAACATTTGGGTTGCTTCTATTTCTTGCTATTGTACAGAGTGCTGCTATGAGCGTAGGTGTGCATGTCTCTGGTTTGGTCTCACTATGATTTCCTTGGAGTATATTCCCAGTAGTGGAATGGTCGAACCTATAGGATCCATAGGGTTTTCCTGGCTGTAATCTTTTTGTCAACACAGATTGTCAGGCCTTTCTTTTTTGGTGCCATTGTGTGGGCCTAACCCGTTGGGCTAGTATTGTAATCAAACAAACTTTTTGTGCCACCCAGGGACCGTAATGAAGGACAGCTAATTCTCCCCTCCAAAAAAAAATTTCCTTTTTTGAAAACAAAACCGAGACATAAATGGAGATTTGTACACTGATGTTCATAGCAGCATTATTCACAATAGCAGGAACATGAAAACAGACCAAATGTCCATCTGCAAATGAATGGCTTGAGAAACTGTAGTACACTCACACATTGGAATACTATACAGCACTCAGGGCAGTGATTTCTAAAAATACCATGTACCATGGCAGAGGCTAGAGAGCATTATGCTGAATGAACTAGCTCAGGCTCATAAGGACAAATACTGTATAATATCTGTACTGTAAAAACAGAAGGATAACTAGTAAAATGTGTATGAATATCCCAAGAGGGAAGGGGAGAAACGGAGGGCCTGAGGGTACAGAAGGGGGGGAAGTCATGGGATCACAGATATTGGTGGGTGCAGGAAGTGGGAAAAGGTATTAAGAAAGATCCAGTGTAGATCTGAAAAGATGGGGTAGTAGGGGCTATAGAACAATGGTAATTAATTTTATAAGACACAATATATGGGAATGATTGTAAGAAACACAATATGAATGAAAAAATATTTTCAAAAGAGTAAAAAAAGTTCCTTTTTTTGGAGAGAGTCTTTTTGTACTGAATTGAACAGTTTTTAAAAAATTTCCTGAAGTGCATGTTAAAGAAGCTCTAGTGGCCTAATGGCAAGAAGCTGCGTGCTGCAATCCCGAAGGCATGTGGTTTGAATCCACCAAAAGTTCTGCTGGAGAAGGAGGGGTGAGCTCCTCTTGTGCCAGTCGGATCTGATTCCACGATACACCACAAGAAATGCAAAAAAAAGAAAAAAAAGAAAAGAAATGCATGTTAAACAATACAGCAGTGCTTAGAGCCGTCTGGATGGTGCTGCATTGCTTTCTATGGTTGATGTCTAGGAGGCTTATGTTTAACAGTTAATTTCCCAATGGGATTTTTGTCATTTGTAGTTAAGTATCCTCCAGATTTTCTATGTAATACAATTTCAACAAAGCTTTTAATAAGTGGAAGATATATGCACTGATATTCATCTCTTCATCCATTTGGATTTGTTTACTTTTAAGGGATTTCTGAAATAATATTTTTTGAAAGTAGCTATTGCCATGACTTCACGCAATTCTAATGCCTCTCCTTTTCTCATCCAGGATTCTACATCCAAAGTGTGTAAAACCGACTGCTGAGTCTAGAAAAACAGTGGCGACGTTTTGCTGAGTTCCCAGACAGTTGCCAAGATGGAACCAATAACATTCACAGCGAGGAAGCATCCCTTCCCCCACGAGGTCTCGGTGGCCTTCAGCCTCCAACTGGTGGGCTCTTTGCCTGTGCACTCTCTGACCACCATGCCCATGCTGCCCTGGGTGGTGGCTGAGGTTCGGAGACTTAGCACCTGCAGAAAGGAGCCTGCTCCCAGGCAAGTCCGGCTCTGCGTCTCGCCCTCTGGACTGAAATGTGAGCACGAGCCAGGAAAAAGCCAGCAGTGGGATCCCCTGATCTGTTCCAGCATATTCGAATGTAAGCCCCAGCGTGTTCACAAGCTGATTCACAACAGTTACGACCCAAGTTACTTTGCTTGTCTGATTAAGGAAGATGCAGCCAGTCAGCAGAGTATCTGTTACGTGTTTAAAGCCGATGATCAAACAAAAGTAAGTTGAGCTGGATGGTGGGGTTAATGAGGGGTTGTGGGAGTTGTAGACACTCTCAGAGTGGGCGACACCAAAATGAGTTTATAAATGTTTGTACTGTGTTTTATTCTTTCTCTAAAAATATTCCTGTAGTCTGTTTGACTGACAAAAATATTTTTCATAAGCTCACCGTACAAGTATCAATATACAAGTCCAAAATTTCGTATAAATTTACTGTTTGAACCTTCTATTGCGTTGGTCAGAACTAGAATTATTACTCATTTACAATGACGCTTCCAATCACGTGGTTTTGTCTGTAGTGTAAGTTTTCCTGGCTGCTGATGTTTTCATAGTTGCTGATTTGGTGAGATTTTCTGGTGTGTTAGCTACAATGTTGTGTCAATTAGTAGTTGCGAACCTACGGCAATAATTCTTTTTGAAGATGGAGTAGTAAACCCACTGGAGGGTCAGTTATGAGTTGATTTCAAATCGATGGCACCCAATACCAACAACATACTGCTACTTTCTGAAATTACCATCTGATTTCTGAAAGCATGTGTTCACTTGCACAGAGGTTATTGATAACAATAGTGTTTATGAATTCATTTAAAAAATAGTGTTGATAATTTCAAGATGGATTTTCCCCCCCAATTTCATGTTAGATCTTAGTAGACACAGTTTTACCTTGTGATAGGACTGTGAAAGATAGGTGTTAAAAGTGCCTGCAGCCCTTCTATTTTCCTGTTCTTTTGTGCTTATGTTGTTGTTGTTGTTATGTGGCATTGAGTCTCATAGTAACCTTATGCACAATAGCTCTGAAGCCTGCCCTCTCCTGAGCCAATCTCATTGTCTCAGACACACCTACCCCCATTATCTCAGTCGGTGTAAATCCGTCTCAAATGGAGTCCTGGAGTCATGATATCCTTCTCCAAATACTGGCCCTCCTGGCAACACGCCCAAATATTTAATTTGCAATTCCGTTTAAGACTCCTTTAAAAGCTTTTCTGTGAGGATTAATTTCGATATAATTGAAAATATAATCCATACAACTGTATTTCTGTCCGGCATCTGGAAATCAAGCAGATGAAGACTACACTGATAATGAGATGAGCTGTGGAATCCTGTCATTGGCTAGGACCAGGGTGTCCAGCACAACACTAAGAATGCCAAAGATTTTCAGGTTTCTTTAAAATGTAAACTATAGAGAGGCTAATGTTTTCTCCTTGCACCCCACTGGGTTGCTTTGCATATCCTCTCGAGTACTGAAGCCTCATTTGGGAATTCTGTTCTCAGGGAACCGTATAGATCTGCGAGACTCATTGCTTTCTGTTGGTTCATTTCTTGGTTCGTTGGTTTGCTCATTTGGTATGGTGATGTGGGGAAGAATACGAGCACCGTGCAGTGGGAAGGCGGAAAGCCTCCATAGAGAAATATCAGGGTGCACACTGGCTCTGCTCAGGGGCTTGATGAGAGCACAGGGAAATGGAGTCTAAAACCAACCAGAAGTGACCCAAGGCGTTTTTTAAATAAAAGCTAATCAAGCAGGCAGCCCCAACCTCCATTGCGTCTGTAGAATTAGACATGTTCTTATGATAAGTCATTCAGGGTTCTTTGAGCATCTCAAATAGGCAGAGCAGTGTTGCATTTTCAGAGGTTTAGAGGAATGACCTTTCTGGATTCCAGTTCTGGCTCTGTGAACAGGGTGCTGGTGATGGGTGCTTTAGCCTCAAGAATGACACACAGCAACCCTGTGAGCAACAGATCTGAACCCCGCCCTATCCTGTGCTGTCTCACAATCTCTAACACGCTCAAGCCCATTGCTACAGGCACTGTGTCTTCCTCTCTTGATGGTCTTCCTCTCCCTCAGAGGATGAAGGTGCGCCTGATTCAGGCCATGGTCTTTTCAGTCACTTCTTATGCATCAGAGAGCTGGACAATGAATACAGATGGCAGAAGACAAATGGATGCCTTTGAACTGTGGTGTTGGAGAAGAATGCTGAATGTCCCATGAACTGCCAAAGAACAACCAGATAGGTCTTGGAGAGGGGGCAGTCAGAGTCCTCTATGCAGGCAAAGATCATGAAGCTTTTGTTCATATACTTTGGGCATGTTGCTAAGAGAGGTTACTCCATAGAGACAGACAGCATCATAGTTGAAAAGGTGGAGGGATGGGGAAGGAGAGGAAGACCCTCATTCAGGTGGATTGACCCTGTGACTGCAGCGGTGGCCTTGAATGTTTCATAGATTGTGAGGTAGTGAACTGGGTAGCCTTCAGGTAGCTAAGCCTTACTCTGTCACCTGTAAGATGGGAATAATTATAATATCTTGATTGGTGCTTTTGAATTGTGGTGTTGGCGAAGAATACTGAGTATACCTCCTGGACTATCAAAAGAACAAGCAAGTCTGTCTTGGAGCAAGTGCAACCAGGATGCTCCTTAGAGACAAGAGTGGTGAAACTTCTTCATCTCACATATTTTGGGAACATTATCAGGAGGGGCCAATCTTTGGGAAAAGGCAGCATACTGGGAAAGATACCAAATCAGTGAAAGAGAGGAAGGCCTTCAGCAAGATGGCTTGACACAGTGACTGAAACAATGGGCTTGAGTATACCAGGGATCATGAAGGTGGTGTAGACCAGGGCAAGGTCCTGATCTGTTCACAGGTAGAGTTACTCTGATTCATGGTTGACTTAAAAGCACACATAACAACAACAGCTCCTGGAGTCCCTGGAAGAACTAAATGATGTTGAACAGAACCAGGGCATTAAGGACATCAGAAATTGTCAAGTCGATTTTGCTGGAAACATTATATGCTCATTTCAGTCTAATCTTCATTTAAAACAAAGAGAATGAGATTGGTATTTCCACTTTTAAGAAGTTATCTTAGTTATTCTTGAAGAAAACTTTATAAAAGAGATACTTAGAAAATTGCTTAATAAAACTCAGTGGTTTCCATTGTTTGTTTGACTATATTTTCACAGGATGAAAATGAGAGGACTGAACACTATGTCCTGCGAGGATTCTCTGCATCAGGGTCACATTTTGGGGGCATAGTTTTTGCATAGTTTTTAGGACTTTAGAGTTTTGACTCTTAACCCACACTCCTGCAGCCACAGAAAACAGATTTTTTGGCAAGTCCTTCAGGTAACTGTCAAAAAGAAGAGATTTACAAAACACTGTACACAATACAAAAATAAAAAACCCAAAATACCATATCTGGGGCCTGCATTCTTAACCAAAGCATGGAAGTGACCTTATTCTATGTTCAAAAAGCTATGGCCAAAATATTATTTAGTTCCTCAGTTATACTTGGTTTGCAAACAGATTTTTAGAAACATGAATTGCTATTGCTGTCATGTTTGTTTTATAAGAAAGTAATTTATAAAGTCCCAGACATGTCAGATGAAATTTCAGAATCCTTGCCTCCAAGGAGCAGCCTAGCTTCACCCTCTCCAGGACAAACTTGTTTGTTCTCTTAGCAGTCTGTGGTATATTCAGTACTCTTCTTCAGCACCACAGCTCAAAGGCATCAATTCTCCTTCTATCATCCCTAGTCATTGTCTAGCTTTCTGATGCATAGTAAGTGATTGCAAAGATTATGGAACAGTGCAAGAAAGGAAGACCCTTGATGAGATGGATTGATTCAGTGACTGGGGTAATGGGGATAGGTGTATCAGAGACAGTAAGACTGGCACAGGATAGAGCAGGGCTTGGAGCTGTTGTACACAGGGTCACTAGTCGCAGGTGACTCAATAGCACATAACAGCAACAATAATTTATAAAGTGAGTATTTCCATGATTTATGTTATTGTTGGAAACAGAATGGTAAACCAGATTTGCCACCATGATTGTAGCATTCATGTAATTTTACATTCTCAAGACACTCCTGACAGTGGTGTATCTCCTGGAGAGAATTACATTTACAGAAACAAGTTAGCCCACCTCCTTGATTCTCTTGGGGGTTTGTAACATCTTCTCAGTGAATGAATTCTTTAGACTAAGGATCCTTATAAACAGATGAGGTCAGCATAGACTGTTTGCCAGAGTGAAGTTATGCATTTACTGCAAGGGGCCTAAGTCCAATACTATGGTTTGAGAAAGAACCCTTTGTTACCATATGAATTAGCTCAGTGAGCATATGAGAGACACAGCTCATGAAAAACTAATGTTACAGGCACACCAGGAGATGTTATTTTCCTTTGTGTTCCACAGAGAAAGGTTACATTAGTGCAGTGTCTGAACTTAGTGGTCTGAAGACAGCTTTTCACTCTTAAAATGTCTTGAGAATCCCAGAGCACTTGTTTACATTTGGTTCTGTGGGACAGTTATATGTGTATAAGCCTGTGTTATTAGAAATTAAAGCTGAAATTTTAAAGGCATTAATTAGTTTATGAGTACAGTAACAACCTCCTTACAGAAGGACATTAGTTCTATTTTTAATGAAAAGGTATTTTTTTAAAAAATGGAAATTATTTGGGTTTTTTAAAATCCCTTTGATGTCTTAATAGAAGACCACTGACTTTTTATGTTTTTTATCTGTATCTCCATTTTTTTTAAATACTGTGATTGAAGTTGTTGTTATGTGCCATCAAGTCATTTGGGACTTATAGCGACCCTATGTACAAGAGCCCTAAAGGCCGTTCTATCCTGTGCCAATCTCGCCCTCTCAAACACACTCATTCCCACCACTCCACTCACAGAATCGATCCATCTCATCGAGGGTCTTCCTCTCCTCCACCGTCCCTCCACTCTCCCAAACATGATGTCCTTCTCCAAGGACCAGTCCCTCCTTGCAACATGCCCAAAGTATGTCAGACGAAGCTTCAGAATACTTGACTCCAGGGAACATTCTGGCTTCACCCTCTTCCAGGACAAACCTGTTTGTTCTCCTAGCAGTCCAGGGTATAGTCAACACTCTTCTCTAGCACCACAGCTCAAAGGCATCAATTCTCTTTCTGTCATCCCTATTCACCGTCCAACTCTCCGATACATAGCACATAATTGCAAAGACTATAGTCTGAA